AATGGGTTAACCAAGAAGTTAAGGAGGAAATTAAAAAGTACATGGAAGCCAATGAAAATGATAACACCACAGTCCAAAGCCAAAATCTCTGGGATGCAACAAAGATGGTCATAGGAGGGATTTATATAACAATTCAGGCCTTCCTAAAGAAGGAAGAAAGGTCTCAGGTACACAACATTAATGTTACACCTTAAAGAGCTGGAAAAAGAACAGCAAATAAAACCCCAAACCAGAAGAAGATTGGAAAAAAAAAGATTAGAGTGGAAATCAATGCTATGGAAAACAAAAACAAAAACAAAAACAAAACAAAACAAAACAAACAAACAAAAGCAGTAGAAAAGATCAATGAAACCAGGAGCTGGTTCTCTGAAAGAATTAACAAAATTGATAAACCCCCTAGCCAGTTTGATACCCCAAAAAAGGGAAGGACCCAAATAAATAAAATCAAGGATGAAAGAGGAGAGATCATAACCAACACTGCAGAAATAAAACAAAAATAAGAGAATATTAGGAGCAATTATATGCCTATAAATTAGGCAATCTGGAAGAGCTGGACAGATTCCTAGAAACATATAAACTACCAAAACTGAAACAAGAAGAAATAGAAAATTTGATCAGACCCATAACCAATAAAGAAAATGAATTAGTAATCAAAAACCTCCCAGGGGCACCTGAGTGGCTCAGTTGGTTAAGCTTCCAACTTCAGTTAGCAGTCTGTGAGTTCAAGCCCCGCATTGGGGTCTTTGCTGACACCTCAGCACCTGGAGCCTACTTCAGATTCTGTGTCTCCCTCTCTCTCTGCCCCTACCCTGCTTGTGCTCTATCTCTCTCTGTCTCTCAAAAATGAATAAATATAAGAAAAAAATCCCAAAAAACAAGAGTCCAGGGCCGGGCGGCTTTCCAGGGGGATTCTACCAAACGTTTAAAGAAGAGTTAACACCTATTCTCTTGAAGCTGTTCCAAAAAATAGAAATGGAATAAAAACTTCTAAACTCTTTCTATGAAGCTAGCATTACCTTGATTCCAAAACCAGACAGAGAACCCCCCACTAAAAAGGAGAAGTATGGACTAACTTCCCTGATGAACATGCATGCGAAAATTCTCAACAAGGTACTAGCCAACTTGTTCCGACAATGCATTAAAATAATTATTTACCATGATCAAGTGGGATTCATTCCTGGGCTGCAGGGCTGGTTTGATATCTACAAATCAATCAATGTGATACATCACATTAATAAAAGAAAGGGCAAGAATCACATCATACTCTCAATAGATGTAGAGAAAGCATTTGACAAAATATAGCATCCTTTCTTGATAAAAACCCTCATGAAAGTAGTGATAGAAGGATCATACCTCAAGATCATAACAGCCATGTAGGAGAGACCCATTGCTAATATCATCCTCCATGGGGTAAAACTGAGAGCTTTCCCACTAAGGTCAGGAACATGACAAGGATGTCCACTTTCACCACTGGTATTCAACATAGTATTGGAAGTCCTAGACTCAGAAATCAGATAACAGAAAGGAATGAAAGCATCCAAATCAGCCAGGAGGAAGTCAAATTTTGACTCTTCACAGACCACATGATACTCTATATGGAAAACCCAAAAGATTCCACCAAAAAACTGCCAGGACTGATCCATGAATTCAGCAAAGTAATAGGATACAAAATCAATGCACAGAAATCAGTTGCATTTCTATGCACCAAGAATGAAGCAACAGAAAGAGAAATCAAGGAATGGATCCCATTTACAATTGCACCAAAACCATAAAAAACCTAGGAATAAACCTAACCAAAGAGGTGAAATTTTTATACACTGAAAACTATAGAAAGCTTATGAAAGAAACTGAAGAAGACACAAAGAAATGAAAAAATATTCCATGCTCATGGATTGGAAGAACAAATATTGCTAAAACATTATTACTATACAAAGTGATCTACAAATTTATGCAATCCTTATCAAAATAACACCAGCATTCTTCACAGAGCTAGAACAAACAATCCTAAAACTTGTATGGAACCAGAAAAGACCCTGAATAGCCAAAGCAGTCCTGGAAAAGAAAAACAAAGCTGGAGGTATCACAGTCTCAGACTTTAGCCTGTATTACATAGCTGTAGTCAAGACAGTGTGGTACTGGCACAAAAACACTTAGATCGATGGAATAGAATAGAGAACCCAGAAATGAACCCACAAACGTATGGCCAACTAATCTTTAACAAAGCAGGAAAGAATATCCAATGGAATAAAGGCAGTCTCTTCAGCAAATGATGTTGAGAAAACTGGACAGTGACATGCAGCAGAATGAACCTGGACCATTTTCTTATACCGTACACAAAAATAAACTCAAAGTGGATGAAAGACCTAAATGTAAGATAGGAAGCCATCAAAATCCTCAAGGAGAAAGCAGGCAAAACCCTCTTGACCTCGGCCAAAGCAATTTCTTACTCAACACGTCTCCAGAAGCAAGGGAATAAAAAGCAATAATGAACTAGGTTACAGGGATGCTATTTCAAAGGGATGAATGCACCCCAATGTTTATAGCAGCACTACCAACAAAAACCAAAGTATGGAAAGAGCCCAAGTGTCCATCAACAGATGAATGGATAAAGAAGATGTGGTATATACATACAATGGAGTATTCCTCGGTAATCAAAAAGAATGAAATCTTGCCTTTTGCAACAATGTGGATGGAACTAGAGGGTATTACATTAAGCAAGATTTCTCAGAGAAAGACAAATGTCACACTGATTTCACTCATATGTGGAATTTAAAATACAAAACAGATGAACATAGGGAAAGGGAAGCAAACATAATATAAAAACAAGGAGGGAGACAAAACAACAATAACAAAAAAGACTCATAAATAGAACAAACTGAGGGTTGTTGGAGGAGTTGTGGGTTGGGGGATCGCTAAATGGGCAAGGGCCACTGAGGAAGACACTTGTAGGGATGAGCACTGGGTGTTATATGTAGCAGATGAATCACTGGATTCTATTTCTGAAATCATTATTGTACTATATACTAACTAACTTGGATGTAAATTAAAAAATAAAAATAAATAATAAAAAAATACTTAAAAAAATTAGGATCCAGGGACACCTGGCTGTCTCAGTCAGTAGAGCACGTGACTGTTGATCTCAGGGGTTGTGAGTTCGAGCTCCATGTTGGGGGTAGAGATTATTTAAGAAAATAAAAATAAAAATCAGGATCCAAATAAAACAAACAAACAAAAAAACCAAAATATTTCATGAGGATATATTGTGTGCTTCTAACTATGAGAGTAAATTGATGACAAATATAAGCAAGTCCCTTTTTTTCAAGGAAATACGCAGAAATTACAGATAATAAATAAGGAAACTAATGAATAAAATATCTCACATAAAAATAAATACTATAAAAAAGGCGCCTGAGTGGCTCAGTAGGTTAAGCATCCAAGTCTTGATTTTGGCTCAGGTCATGATCTCATGGTTTGAGATTCTCTTTCCCTCTCTCTCTCTCTGTCCCTCTTACACTTGTGCTCTCTCTCAAAATAAATACTAAAACATGAAAAAATAAAATAAATACAATTAAGAATACAAAGTAAGATCATAAAATAGTAGAGACTATTGGTGGACAACTGGGCACTGTTCCTGGAGGTATGGACAGGAAAGCCCTCTCGGGAAAGTAACATTTAAGCAGAAATATTGACCAGAAACACTTGAAGGTCATTCTCACTGAAAAATACAGCATGATGAGGAAAGAGCAAAGTTGAGGTCTGTGATGAAAGTCAGTGCCAGATCACTCATGTAGTGCATTATAAGCCATAGCAAGACATTTGGATTTTAAGTGGCTAGTTATAGGTTTTAATTGACACAGGGAATTATTTGACCTGATTCAAGTTTTATAAGGATCTGTGTGGAGCATGACCTTAGGAGCATTCTGGGAGAAACATGATGACTTGGTCTAGGGATGTTCAAGTAAAAGTCAGAAAGGTTTGACATGGGATATATTTGGGGGGGAAATACTGGCACGACTTACTGACAGACTGGACTGGCAGGTAAAGGAAAGAAATGACTCATTTTCTAAGATAGGAAAACTGAAGAACTTAAGTGGCCTTTCACACCACCTCCCCATTGGTGTGAATCAGTTTGCCCGTATTTAGTAAACTTACTGGGGAACTGACAAGGAAGCAGGAAATCACTGTTTCCATGGCTTTCCTACCCAATAATATTCAGTGCTCTTCATTATAGGAAAAAGTAACATTTATTTCTAAATAAAATGGCTGGACATTATTTAAAGTCCTGCAAGAAATGAAATACATGGAATTCTGGGATACTTATAAGTTTTAGGAAAATTGTATTTTCCCTATTACATGTTACCTCCCCAAATATCATTTCAGTGTATTCAAAATGCTGAATTATACATCACTATGATAAATAAACATATTTAATGATGTTAAAACCACAGTTTTCTTAATTTTTAAACATTTATAAATTGAAGAAGTGACTTTATTAATCCCTACTTTTACATTGTACATCATAATTGACATTTATTGATCAGTCTTTTCATATCATATATCCACCACAATCAAAGATACTAAAATAGTGCTACAAATATAATTTTAGATCTTTAAGGTTTACTCCAGGGAAATTTTCCTGCTCTCTGCAACCTGAAGTGATGACTTCCACTTGTGACTGGGCTGTTTGTTATTCATTTTTTAAATAAAATTTGTCACATCACCTTGCATTTTAAAGTGTAATAACTAAGACTATATTTAATGCATGTTTTTATATTGTAGGCTGCCTTCAGGTAAGAACTAGGTAATAACCATCTGCCTCACCATTGGGAACACCATAAAAGGCATTTAGTAATAACTCAGTAAACATATTGAACAAATTAGTGAATGAATTCTAGAATTATTCAAACTGCAGCTATCTGAATTAATCAGCACATATTTACTTGGTTTATACAGTTTTATACACAAGCATACATAGGCGCAAATATTTCAAAGAGTCGTACCTCCCAGAGTAGCAGACAGCAAGAAATGTGTCCCATATTTCTTGATAAGGTTTTCTGTGATTTGCTGCAGGGTAGGTCGGCGTCCCAAAAGTCTTATGTTGCGGAAGAATTCAGGAGCAAGAGGCAGAGGAGAGCCAAGGAAATTTCTCCTCTCGACTGCAAGGTTATTTACTTTCCAGCGGCCAAACTCCCTGAAAAGCAAATTTATTTTTATTCATAAATACACAATCTACCTGAATGTTTTCATTTGAAAAGTTCACTTGGTAGTTTAGCTGGGGTCACCACATTACAATGAGTCTCGCCTGTAATAATATGTCATGTGCTATGAGTAGGAGAAGCAACATTTATAATTTATGTAACTCGAGTGAATATTCTGAAAACCAAATCACATAAAGGAAAAATAAGTCACGTAAAAGAAACAGCTTTCCCTCATTCGTTTTTTCCCAAGGAAAGACGTACTCATAAAAATGATTTCATTACGCATAGAATATGAATGTAGAGCCATTAAAAAACACTAAGGTAATACTTTATTATTTTTGAGGGAAATTGAAAAAAGAGAATGAATTTATTTTCATAACTCTAATGATTCCTTTCTTTATTCACTTTAGCATGGGACCCTGTAAAACACTTCGAGAATATTATGGCGCTGTGGAAGAATTTTAAAAGCATAACCAAAAGAGAAATATTTTTACAATAATTATTGTTTACAACCTATTTTGAAACCTAAATTCAACTTGATTAGCAATTTCTCTAGATGCAAATGACATTCAGGTGGATTCGGCCAAATTAGGGAAATGGAAAATATGGTTATAAATGATTTATACATTTAAACAAAGATTTATACATTTATATTGAGTTGAAATCAAACTAATAACACTTCAGAAAAGAACTGTGGGGAAATGCATCTCCTGATAACTGTACAGAATTATTCTGGGTTGGTCTGATAAAAATCTCAAATACCTTCCACAGGAAAGAATTCCTTCAACCAGGCTTAATACTACTAGGCGTGTTGTTTAACTCAATAACTATTTGGCAAATAAAATATTAAGTAATATTGTATAAAGATGTCCTATATTTATTTATATTTTTCCCCACAAAATGCCTGTAGTGTACCAACAAACAGTGCATGATAAGGATACATCAGTAAAGCAGACCAATACTGTCCATGTCCAAATGGAATTCACATTCTAGAGAAAGTTTGAAAAATAAATAAAACTGGGTGACCTGGCTAGCTCAGTTGGTTAAGGGTCCAACCCTCGATTTAGGCTCAGGTCATCATCTCATAATTTGTGAGTTCAAGCCCTACATTGGGTTCCTCACTGACAGTGTGGATCCTGCCTGGGATTCTCTCTGTCTCCCTCTCTCTCCCCACCCCTGCTGCTCCTTCTCTAGCTCTCAAAATAAATAAATGTTAAATAAATAAATAAATAAATAAATAAATAAATAAATAAATAAAAAAAAGACATTAAATTAAATTTTAAACACATGTCAGAGGACTGTAAGTGCTGAGAGCTACCAGAGACAGCCTGCTGTGATGAGCCATCTGGCTGTGGACAGTGAGGCCCTATTTTATTTTAAGTGACCAGGATGGCAACTTTTGGAGAGGTGATATTTAATATTTAGGCAGTCTCTGAGGGGAGAAAAAAAAAAAAAGGTTGCTAGAGGCGGGGAAGCGGGGAAGAGATTTACACAGAATAAAGAAGAGTAAATACTTGCAGAACAAAGAGGCATCTCTCTGACAGAGTCTCTAACTATGAATATTTTGCTTGTGTGACACACATTTGTCAGCCCAACAATCCACCCAGTCTTTTGGAGATTAATTAGAAGATAAGATTCACTAAGGAATCTAGGGAAGACTCGGCCTTAGAGTAAGTCAATTTAGTGTTTCTTTCCTTCAGAAACTCTTGCTGTCTCCTCTATAAATCAGCTGATCTAAACAGTTTTGTTCTACCAGTGGTTCTCAAATTTCAGCACCTAGTAGAGTCACATAGAAACTCTACGCCAGAATTTTCTGATCCATTAGGACTGAAGTGGGATCCAGAGTTTGCATTAACAAACAACACTAATGCCGCTACATTGAAGAAAACTATTAGATAATTTAGTATATTGTCTCCAAAATTTTGTCAGTGTTCTGTTTTCAGTAAATACAAGATTTTTAGTGACACTATGCTGGATTTATTAGTTCATGTTTCTTCAGAAGAGAGTAAGAATGTCTTTTTTTCCCAAAACCTGGGTTGATATTAACAATTTTATGTCTTTTCTTTTTATAAAAAATTACCTAAATTGTACCTGTGTATTATATATACACATATGTATATATAATATTATATATGATACATATATAATATTATATATGATACATATATACATATACATATATGTATATATACATATATACATTATATATGATACATATATAATATTATATATGATACCATATATAATATGATACATATATAATATTATATATGATACATATATAATATAAGTGTATATTCAAAATGGTGAAGAAGAGCATTTAAAATAAAATATTTAAGTTTTGGGGCAACTGGTGGCTCAATCGGTTAAACATCTGACTCTTGATTTCAGCTCAGGTCATGATCTCACGGTTCCTGAAATCAAGTCCCCATTGGGCTCTTCACTGATAGTGGGGACCCTGCTTGAGATTTTCTCTCTTCCTCTCTCTCTCTGCCCTCCCCACTCATTACCTCTCTCTCTCTCTCTCTAAGCATATAAATAAATTTAAAAGAATTAAAAATAAAATATTTACATTTTAATATTTTGTGATATATCTCAAACTATATAATCATATAATACGTCTAAGAAGTAATTTATTAAACCAAGATGTAAATAATAGTTGTTCAGTTCCAAACTTTATAGACTTACCCTTGAACATTTATTTTTTTTTTATTTGCTGAAAAAACATTATGATCTTGTCAAGAGAGTGACATGAACCTAGAATTTTGGCATATCTTTTTCAATGGTTTAAAGTGATAAATTTATAAACTCATATGCATGCATTCATAGACTAATATGTGAGCTGCTAAATGAATTAATTGGACTTTGAATAACCAAGAAGATTGATTCAATTGTGGTATTTTACATACCATATACACTCTTTTTAAATCATTGAGTATTTCAGGCTAGATGACTATGCGTAAATACATATTTGAAGAGCACAATTCTAGTCTTTCTTATCTTTAGCAGCTAATGAGTATTCAAATCAAATCCCATGATCTATTCTGACTTGATTTACTACTTTCTCCTGTTTCTTCCTATTAAATTTGACCCAAAAACCCCAAATAAAAAAAGCAAATAAATAAATAAATAAATAAATAAATAAATAAATAAATAAAACATGAAAGCTCTAAAACAAACATGTCATTTCCTGAAATCAATTTCTAGCACCAAATAAAAAAAAGTATTAATTGTTCACTATTGTTATTATTACCAGAAATCTTGCTAGGCTTATAGATGAAAAACTGTTACCTTAAAGGCTCAAAGATTATATTATTAAGCAAGATAAAATGGACATGAATATTCTAACATTTCAGATGGACAAAACACTTTGCCATCCCTTCTGATTATTCTGTCACACAACAACCAAAAGTAGAGGACAGACTCTTTGAAGGTATCACCCAATGAAGACTAATACTAACACAAATTAAACAACCCACTAACTAATTAAATTAATTAATTAAAAAAAACATTATTGTTAGTAATTACAGCAAATTCTTATCTCAAGAGCTCCATCTAAAACTTTTTCTCTACTTTTTCTTTTATGTTTTATATACAGATGAAGTAATACATTATACTTTCATTATGTATATCCGAAAGTGTAATTGTGTGTGTGTGTGTGTAAAAAACACAAATATTGATTTGAGCTATGAGATCTCTCATTTCCACTCTCCATATTATCCGTTTGTATTGTAATGACACACGATCACTTTTACAATCTCTACAAATTTTTTGTGAAAACTCAGATGGAAAGTACTGAAATAATCCTGAGAAGTGCTGATAAGTAAAGGAAGTTCTCTCTGGACAGTGAAGTACCACACTGTGAGTAGTGAACGCTAGATATGAATACAAATACTCAGTGTCTCTTCATCCTGGGCACAGGATAGGATTGCAGTTACTGGTGTCCTTTTTTTTTTTTTTTTTTTTTGAACGTTTATTTATTTTTGGGACAGAGAGAGACAGAGCATGAAGGGGGAGGGGCAGAGAGAGAGGGAGTCACAGAATCGGAAGCAGGCTCCAGGCTCTGAGCCATCAGCCCAGAGCCTGACGCGGGGCTCGAACTCACGGACCGCGAGATCGTGACCTGGCTGAAGTCGGACGCTTAACCGACTGCGCCACCCAGGCGCCCCCCACTGGTGTCCTTTAAAATCAGTGTGGCCGTGTGACTTGCTTTCACTGACAAAGTGTGCCCTGTATGGTTATGCTGGCCCATCAGCCAGGGGCCCTAATGAACAATGATGATTCAAATCCCCATCCCCCAACCCCAGCCTTGCAGCTTGTTGGGATGAACAAGTGCATGAACTAAAAAGAAATTTTGTCATGAAAAGCTATCAAGATTATGGGGTTATTAGTTGGTTCGTTTTCTTGCTTTCTAGTAATATAATCTAGTACATAATAAGTAATGCAGAGTGTTTTGACTTTGGGGTAACTTGAGAAGGCAATAAGGAAGTAATGGTTGTATATAAATTGGAAACTTACGGGTGCAGTTTTTTTCATCCTGAAGATACAATTCACCTCAGTTGCAACTAGACTATGCATTCATTAAATTTTGGAAAAACAAAGCAATGGAATGCTGAATTGATAACGTGCTGTCGGGTATGATTTTCATAATGAGAACATTTTACCTAAAGGATCCAAGGATTCCATCCAGATTCATTATGTTTGTATTAAATAAGAACATTGTGGCATCTAAGTGAATGCTCCATTCTACCTGAAGCCTTCACAGTACATAAATATCTTCTCATCATAACCTTTGGAAGCCTTTAAATAAAAGAGGCACAATCATTAGAGTTTAATGTAACTCAGCCCTTTTAGAAGCAGCACTATTTTGTGGAACACACAAATGGGCTATAAACAGTTCAGCCAGAACATTACTTTGAAAATGCTTTTGTTGGCTCTAAGAAGCCTCTATTAGTTGATTAGAGTTGTATGTTTGCCTGCTAAAAAGTCTGAC